AACCAATCCCTTATCAAATAAATGGTCTGCAAATCTTTTCTCCCAGTTCCCTGTGTTGTCTTTCATGTCCTTGGTGGTGGTATCCATTGTAGCACAGAAGTTTTTCATTTTTGTATACTCTGATTTATCTATTTTTTTCTATTGCATCGTACACCTTGGTGTCATATCTGAGAATTCATTGCTTAATACAAGATCATAAAGATTTATTTTGTTTTCTTCTAATAGTTTTATAATTTTAGCTCTCACTGTTAGGTCTGTGTGAGTTTATTTTTGTATATAGTCTAAAGAAAATGTCCAACTTCATTCTTTCCCATGAACTTTCTTACACCTTCATCTTTGGTTTGGAAGAGATTTTTCTGACTATTGAATTCTAGATAAACACATTTTTTCTTTTAGTACTACAAAGATGTCATTCTGTCATCTCTTTATTGCATCATTTCCAATGAGAAATCTGATGTCATACTTGTCTTTGTTTCTATATTTGTAACATGCTTTCTTCTACTGATTAGTTTTAAGATTTTCTCATTATCTCTGTTTTTGAGCAATTTGATTATAATGTGCCAGTGTAATTTTCTTCATGTTTCAAATGCAGTTCTGGTGATTGAACTCAGACCTCTTACATGCTAGGCAAGTGCTCTGCCACTGAGCTACATCCCCAGCCCTTCATATTTCTTATATTTGGAGTTTGATGAATTTCTTGGATCTGTGTGTTTATAGTTTTCATCATATTTAGATATTTTTTAAAAAATTATTAAACAGGCTTAGGATTTAGCTCAGTTAATAGAACCCATGTTAGCATGTGCAAACCCTGGGTTCAATCTCCAGCACCACAAAAAAAAAAAAAAAATAGACATTTTTTAGGACTGTTTGGAGCATTATTATTTCATTTTAAATAATTTCTTCAAGGTAACTAATCTTTTCTTTGTCCATGTCTAATTGGTCATCAGTGAATTTTTTATCTCATACCTTGTAGTTTTCATTCTAGAAGTTCAATTTGAGCCGAGCACACCTATTATCCCAGTGGCTTGGGAGGCTGAGGCAGGAGGATAGAGAGTTCAAAGCCAATCTCGGCAAAGATGAGGCGCTAAGCAACTCAGTGAGACCCTGTCTCTAAATAAAATACAAAATAGGGCTGGGGATGTGGCTCAGTGCTTGAGTACCCCTAAATTCAATCCCCAGTACAAAAAAAACAAAAAACCAAGTAAGTTCAGTTTGAGTCTACATATATATGGGTGTGTGTGTGTACACACACATACCTTCCATGTTTATTTTTTTTAATATATGGGACAGCTATAAGTGTTTATTTAACCTTTTCTACTAATTCTTTCATTTTTGTCTGTTCTAAATCACTTTCAATTGATTGATGTAACTCCTCATTATGCATCATATTTTTCTGCTGCTTACATACCTGGTAATTTTTGTTTGTATAGCCAGACTTTGTGAATTTTATCTTGTTGAATGGTAGTATTTTTATCTTCCTATTAATATTCTTGAGCTTTTTTCTAGAATAGAGTTAAGTTTCTTGGGAATAGTTTGATACTTTTAGGTCTTCTTTTAAGATTAGTTGGTGTGACTACAGCAGAACTTAGTTTAGGGTTAATTATTCCCTGCTACTAAGTCTAGACCCCTCTGTACTCTAACCATTGCCCTAAATCTTGAGTTTTCCAGCCTGATTGGTGGGAATTGGCACAGTTCCACATCCTAGGTCAACCTCAGGCACTGTTTCTTCTTATCTTTTCAAATAGTTTTTTCCTGGGCTTTGGGCAATTTCCTCACATTGCCCACCTGAATACTTGAAGGGAGACTGTTTCAGACCACTGGCATCTTGTATGCAGCTCCCTCCTCTCTGTCATTGCATCCTGTGAACTATGGCTGCCTTAGTCTTCCTAGGTACTCAGCTCCATTCCCTTAACTCAGAGTCCACCACACTCTACCTCCGTTCCTCTTCACAGTGTCATATTCTAGAAAACTCTCTCCAGACAGTAAGCTGGAACATTTGTGGTGCTCTTTCCATTTGTTTCTCTTTTGTCTTTCATATGTGATATCTAGTCCTTATAAGCTATTATTTCATGTACGTTTCTTATATTATTTGTTGTTTCAAAAGATGGGAGGGCAAATCTGGTTCCTGTATTCCATTTTGTCTGGGAGCAGAGGTCTAATGTATTGTTGTTGGAGATACATCATGGCACCAGCATGGTGTTGCATGCTTATAATGCCAGCAACTCAGGGGCTTAGGCAGGAAGATTGCAAGTTTAAGATCAGCCTCGGCAACTTAGAAAGTCTCAGCAATTTAGTGATATCCTGTCTCAAAATAAAAAGGGCTAGAGAGGGCTGGGGCTGTACCTCAGTGGCAGAGCACTTGCCTAGCATGTGTGAGGCACTGGGTTCAATCCTTAGCACCACATTAAAATAAACAAATAAAATAAAGGCATTCTGTCCATCTACAACTACAAAAAAAAAAAGATTTTTTAAAGTAAGCCTGAAAAATCAAAGGGAGGGGAGCGGTGCTGGAGATGTATCTCTGTGGTAGAATGCCCCTGGATTAAATCCCAAACACACACACACACACACACACATACAAATTACTTCCTGCTTGGTTAGTCATTTTAATTCTAGAGCTTATTTATTTCATAGAAATACTTATACATGTGCACAAGTTCTATATCTAAGCCTTGTAGTAAAAAAAAAAAAAGAAAAAACCTAATATGTCCATTAAAAGAGGAATAATTATATAAATTGTGATCATATGTTTATGGAATGCTGTTTTTATTTGTTTGTTTGTTTGTTAAGTAACAGTGGCTCTATGGTACTAATGTGGAAAAATCTCCAGTATATTTCACAAATGGAAACAGACAACCCATGGAGTGTTTAGTATAATTCAGTTCGTGGTGTTTTGTTTGTTTGTTTGTTTGTTAATGGAGGCTGGCATTGTACATCATTGGTGAGGCCCAGGGTTCAGTCCTCAAGTCCCCAGCATCTATAGATCTGGAAGAACTCTCATCTCAAAGGTAACACAGTAGAATCTTCTAGGGTGAGGGACTTTGACTTTTATTGCACCTGCTTTGTTGTTTTGTTTTGTTTGGTACTATTGAATCCAGGCGTACTCTACCACCAGCTCCATCCCAGCCTTTTTTTTTTTTTTTTTCTTTTTTTTCTCCCCAGCCCTTTTCATTTTTTATTTTGAAACAGGGTCTTATTAAGTTGCCCAGGTTAGCTTTGAACTTGTCATCCTCCTGCCTCAGCCACCTGAGTAGCTGGGGTTAGAGGCATATGCCACCATATCAGGTGCTATTACATATGCTTCTACATTGCTTGATTTTTTTTTAATGAAGCACATATACTTTGTCATTTTTTAAAAATTTATTTTCTTAAGCAAAGTAGTCTGAGCTTAAATTCAGTATTAAGAGTATAGAATTCGTCATGTATATCTAAAAAAGAATAAATTTTTTTAAAAAGAGTATGGAGGGACTCAGGATGTGGCTCAAGTGGTAGTGCACTGGCCTGGCATGCATGAGGCACTGGGTTCGATCCTTAGCACCACATAAAAATAAAATGAAGATATTGTACTAAAAATAAAAAGAAACATTAAAAAAAAGAGTATGGAATATGGAGGTAAGGGATAGGGAGTAGCTCAGTGGTAGAGCAATCCCCAGGACCACAAAAAGAAGAGGGAGTCAGTTTGCCTTAATTTAAATCATAATTCTAATATTTGTTAATTTTGTAAACTTGAATTTAAAAAGACTATTCTTTGCCTCAGTTTTCCCTTCTTTACATGGAGATAATAGTATTTCATTAGCTGTTAAAAAGGAATAATTAAGCTGGGCACAGTGGCGCACACCTATAATCCCAGCAGCTCAGGAAGCTGAGGCAGGAGAATCGTGAGTTCAAAGCCAGCCTTAGCAATTAGTGAGGCCCTAGGTAACTTATCGAGATCCTGTGTCAAAATAAAACAACAACAACAACAATAAAAAAACATTTTAAAATAAAAAGGAGGGGGACTCAATGGCTAAGTACCCTTAGGTTCAGTCCCTGGTACAAAAAAAAAAAAAAAAAAAGAATTCAGGCCAGTCACCTGTAGTTCCAACTATTTGGGAGACTGAGGCAGGAAACTTGAGAGGGCAATGCTACCTGGGCAATATGAGATCCTGTCTCAAAAAAACAGGAAAGAAAAAAATGATTATGTGGGCTAGGGGTATTTTTCAGTGGTAGAGTGCCCGCCTAGTGTACACAAAGGCCCTGGGGTCTATCCAACAGAACGGTGGGTAGGGAGTTAAATGCTAAATAGCTGGACCTATAATCCAAGCAACTCAAGAAACTCAAGAATCTGAGTCAGGAGAATCACAAGTTTGAGGCCAGTTTAGCAACTTTGTGAGATCCTGTCTTAAAAAATAAAAAATTAGCTCAGTGGTAAAGCACTTCTGGGTACCACAAAAAATAAAAATAACTAGTTGGTTTTGCCTGTCACTGTTGATCTTTATCTGAGGCAAGCAAGGCTGATACTTCATCTCATGTACACTTGGAAAAAGGAGATGGCTCGAGTGCCTTCAGTGAACCACTTAGCTTTCATTGTTTGGGTCATTTTGATATCCCTGTCACACAAGAACACCTGCATCCCAGAAGGGTTAAGAACACATTGATATCATGTATTCTGGCTTCCACTAGTTAGTCTTTCTTGTCACCTAGACCTTTTTCTCTCAGTGTGAACTGAGACTGAAACCTGTTATTCAGAATCTCTCAAATTACCAGCCTCTCAAAGAGTCTGGGTACATATGCCTCCTGATTGTGGTGTGTCTGTTTCCCTTTCCGTATTCAACTTTGCTCATGAGCCATTGATGATCTAATGTTTGAACTTAGATCTTGTAAACTCTTGTGATTGTCTCCTTTTATCTCCTTAGTGGAACTAAGCTTTGAATGTCTTTTTCTTTTCCTGAGATATTTTTCCCTATAGCAGTTCAAAGATTTACTGCATATTAGCTACCTTGCCTCTTTCTCATTTACAGCTGTTCCCAACCTCTTCATGCTGGAAACAGTGGATTCTATGAAGTTAGCAGACAAAGTGAACAGTTCCTGGCAGAAGAAAGGTTCTGCTGAAAGGCTGAAGGTTATGGTCCAGATTAACACCAGTGGAGAGGAGAGTAAGTTACCAGCCCTGCATTATAGATTTTTTTTTCCTCCCTTAAGATAACTAAAGATCTCAGAGAATGATGAGCATATAAGTATCTGACCCATAAAGTTATAGAAAGAAGTCACAGTCCTCTAAGTTGTTATATGTGTGATATAGAAGTATAATGATATGCAAGCCAGTCCTTATATAATTCTTTAATATGTCCTGGTTTGTTATATCTTAATTTGGGGGAGGAGAGGATGAATCAAGAAAGAATTGTGCAGAGCTGGGCGGGATGGCAAACGCTTGTAATCCCAGTAGCTTGTAGGCTGAGGGAGGAGAATCACAAATTAGAGACCAGCCTCAGCAATTTAGCAAGGCCCTGTCTCAAAATAAAAAGGGCTGGGGATGTGGCTCAGTGGTTAAGCACCCCTGGGTTCAATCCTGGTACAAAAAAAAAAGAAAGAAAGAAAGGATGAGGCTGGGTGCAGTGACACATGCATGTGTAATCCCAGCAACTTGGAAGGCTGAGGCAGGAGTATCACAAGTTCAAGCCCAGCCTGGGCAACTTAGTGAGACCCTGTCTTAAAAAATGAAAAGGACTGGGGATATAGCTCAGTGGTAGAGCACCACTGAGTTCAATCCTTAGTACCAAAAAAAAAAAAAGAGAGAGAGAGAGAGAGATTGAGACTCTGATCTCCTGAAAGTCCCCAAAGGTCATCATCACTCCTGAAAGGGATTGTAGAGTTACACGTCTAATACAGTTTAGGTTTGAAAAGATTACCTAGTGTTGCATTGGAAGAGAATTGAAGAAAAATCCCTGTGAGTACCAGTCAATGACTATCTTACAAGGCCTGGGATAACAGCTTAACATAGCGAGAAGGATCATGACCTTTAAAATCAGACAGGCTTGAGCATCACCACTTTCCAGCTTTGTAATTTGAGGTCCATTACTTTACCTTCCTGTACCTCATTTTCCTTGTCTGGCAATGGTATCATAATAGTACCCACTTCAGAGAATGTGACAAGGATTGAATATGGTGATGCAGGCAAAGCTGTAAGCACAGAACCCCACTCGTCTTCCTTTTTAGTTTTTTGTTAAAAATAAGTGTTTGAAGCCAGGTATTGTGGCACATGCCCATAATTCTAGCTACTCACCAGACTTAGAAAAGGACCACAAGTGTCTGAGTCCAGCCTTAACAATTTAGCAAGACTGTCTCAAAATTTTAAAATGTGGGCAGGCGGGTGGGCCCTGGTGGTATAGTTCATTGATAGAATGCCCCTTGTTTAATCCTGGACCCACAAAAAAAAAAAAAAAAAAAAAAAAAAGGCTGGGATGTAGCTCAGTGGTAGAGTGCTTCTGAGGGAAAATCCCCAGTATGACAAGTAAGGAAGGAAGGAAATAAATAAAGGAACTTTTTGGTAGGTAAGTAAGTAAACACATACACACACACACACACACACACACACACACACATACAATGTTGGAAGCATCGTTTTGTTAAGAATAAATGTTTGAAGCCAGGCATGGTGGCACATGCCTATAATTTTAGCTACTTTGGAGGCTAAGGCAGGAGTACCCAATAGTTTGAGTTTAGCCTTTGCAGTTTAATGAGACCCTGTCTCAAAAAAAGTAAGAAGGATTGAAGACGTAACTCAGTGGTAGATCATCTTTGGGTTCAGTCCCCAATACCATGTATTAGGGGGGAAACGGCTGGGGATGTAGCTCAGAGAGCTCTTACCTAACATGTGCAAAGCCCTGGGTTCCTCCAGCACTACACAAAAAAATGAATAACAAAATTCTGAGATGGAGTAAAAAGAATCTGATTTATAGCTCTTTCCTTGAGAAATTCAGAACCTGCCTAGAAGGGGAGCAACACAAAACACCAAACCTAAAGTTGCTCCTTAGGACTTGATGATAACGTATTCCATGAGGTCCTCATCTGAGAGTTATGTTCTCTGGTAGAAGAGATGGAAGAAAATGGAGCCCTCCTCCTCTGGCTGTTTAAGGCATTTCAGCTTATGTGTCTTCTGTTTCTTTTTGTGAAGGTAAACATGGCCTTCCACCTTCAGAGACAATACCCATGGTGGAACACATAAATACCAAGTGTCCCAGCCTGGAATTCGTGGGACTGATGACCATAGGAAGCTTTGGGCATGATCTTAGCCAAGGACCAAACCCCGACTTCCAGGTACTAGGGGCCAGGAGTTAGATGGGGTGAGGGATTACTCATGTGCAAAAGAAGGATCTTGGGGTTAGGGGTGTAGCTCTATGGTAAAGCGCATGCTTAGCTTGCATGAGGCCCTGGGCCGGCTGTTGTAACTTCAAAGACATTTCACATATATAAAAAGTAACAGTCAAAAATAAGGAAAATCAGAATAGAGGAGGGAAACTAGGCGGAGGGAGGAGAGGAGGGAAATGCAGGAGAGTGGGAACTGAATGGCGACTGAAATGGAGTAAATTAAATTCCATGCATATATGACTTTTGTCGAAATGAACACCACTACTATGTATAACTGTAATACTTTAATTTAAAAAAAATTATGAGCTATGAAAGAAAAAAGAAAAAAGACATCCCTCATATTGCCTAGTAGATATTATAACCCTCTTCTGAACTCTCTCATAAGGGAAAGGAAATAGTAAGTTCTCAAGTTCTAGCTAATTTGAAATTGGCTCACACAGTTTTTAAAGCTTTTTCTTCCTAATGACTGATAGTTTTCTTCTTTCATTGTTATTTTTTTTCTGTTTTGTTTTGTTTGCAGTTCTGGGATTAAACCCAAGGCCTCCTGCAAGAGCTGTACCACTGAACTACATGCATAGCCCCAATAGTTTTCTTGAAAGTGGGGGGTTTTATTAAAGCATTTCTAATACTTCTGGCAATTTTGACAGGCCTCAGAATCATGCAAAATAAATAATCTTCAGGGATGATCAGATTTGGTTATTTTCAGACATCATTAGAGATGGCAGGAATAAAATGGGTATCACGCTTGTGTCTCTGTCAGGTGTTACTGTCCCTGCGGGAGGAGCTGTGTAGAAAGCTGAGCATCCCCGCTGACCAAGTTGAGCTGAGCATGGGCATGTCCATGGACTTCCAGCATGCAGTAAGTGTCCTTCTGGGTGCCCTTTTCTGTTTTAGAGTAGGGTCCAAAAGGATGAAGCAGAAATAGGTTTCTGGTAGGTAAACCTTTGAAATGCCTCCTTGCAGATTACCCAGTCCCAGGGATTGTCAACTATTCTAAGAAAATTTATAGACGGTACAGCCTAACATCTAATTTTCAAAAATTCAGTATAATTCCCTGAGTGTAATCTAAAAGAAAATAAGAAACTATAGGCTGGGAGGATAGCCCAGTGGTAGACCACATGAGTTAGCATGCACTAAGCCCTGGGTTCAATCCTTTGACACCAAAAAAAGAAAGAAATTAACTAATTTTTAAAGGCATTTCATCATGTAAACACCAGGGCATGAATATATGACAGTATTTTTTTTTCTTTTTCTTTCTTTCTTTCTTTTTTTTTTTTTTTTTTTTTTTGTGTGTGTGTGTGTGTGCCAGGGATTTTAAAAAGGGTTGCTTAATTACTGAGACACATCCCCAGCCCTTTTATATTTTAGAAACAGGGTCTTGCTGAGTTGTTAGGGCCTCGCTAAGTTGCTGAGGCTAGGTTTGAACTCAAGATCCTCCTGCCTCATCCTCCCGAGCCACTGGATTACAAGTGAGCACCACCATGCCCATCATGACAGTAAATCTTAGTGAGGTGATCTGATACTTAATCATGTGTAGATTCACCATGAATTCAACAGCTGTAAATACAAACTGATAGAGGATATTTATTGGCAACATATACAGGAGTTTATAGAATAGTAAATAACTGGCCAGTCATGGTGGCACATGCCCGTGACTTTGGATGCTGAGACAGGAGAATCACCAGTTTAAAGTCAGCTTCAGCAACTTAGCGAGACCCTAAGCAAGACCGGTCTTAAAAAATAAAAAGTGCTAGGGTTGTATCTCAGTGGTTAAATAATAATAATAATAATGAATAAGAATAGTAAGTAATTTGATAAAGTTCTAAAAAATTAAAGCATAATACATACCTGGAAAATTATATATACTAAACCAGTATAAAAAGTCTTTCTGTTTATAAGCTAAATGCAGTTAGCTTCTGTGCTCTAATAATTGTAGTAAGGCTTTTTCTTCTACCTGACCATGGCACATTGGAAAGGCATGTGGGCTGAGACAACTCTTCACTATACAGTTGTATCCTATATACCTCCAGTGTCCAACAGCCCTGGTGTCCACTGAACTAAATGCCATCGAGCTCCCCAAGTTCTGTGGAAACCCAGAAATCATTACTTGCTTCCTGAACACCTCCCTGGTACTTCCCCAGGGAGAACCACACCCCATAGCTGCATTATCATGTTCTTTATAGAAGCCTCTGGAGAGCTAGAAGGAGAGGCACAGTTTCAGATTAACTACATTTTACTATTTTTAAAAATCATCCTCAATACTTTCTCCTCTTTCCCATAGATTGAAGTAGGCTCTACAAACGTCCGGATAGGAAGCACCATTTTTGGAGCACGGGATTTCTCAAAGAAACCTGCCCTGGATAAGAGTACAACAGACCTGAAGGCCCCAGTGGGGGTGGCACAGGAACACTGAGCTGAGGACAACCAAGAAGACTAACTATGCACAAACCCTGATTCTCATTTTTATATTGCCCATGTTACAGCCCAATCATGCTCTCTTGTGACCTTGATAGAGCACTGATGATCACATGTGTTGATGGAAACCATCTCACATAGAAAGCTTGCTTCAGGCAGTGGCTTTGGATTAAATTTGAGAAATCCAGTCTCTTCTACAGAGCAAACATCAAATCAGTAGCCAGGAAGTGAGTTTAATGTTGAGTTCTGCGGACAAGCACCAACCAATCTGTAAATCTCTTTTTCAAGTTAAAATTTGAGTCACTGAGCCAAAGGTAGTGGCATACACCTATAATCCCAGGGGGAGGCTGAAAGAGGAGTAACGTAAGTTGGAGGCCAGACTGCGTAACTTAGGCCCTTAGCAAGTCTCAAAATAAAAAGGGCTGGATGAGCTTAGTGGAAAAGCACTTGCCTCGCATGTGTGAGAATCTGGATTCAATCCCCAGTACTGGGGAAAAAAAAAAAAAGGAGTCATGAATTTCTATAATTATGGAAGTCAGAGGCATTTCCCACCCTCCTCCCACTTTAATAGGAAATTCCTATGATTACAGACTTCTTACAAGTTCCTACTTAATGGTCACCTTTGCTGCTCAGTAGATAGGGAAGGTATTCTCTGCTCAGGAATGGCAATATAAGTAACATAAACAGTGGTTTAAATTAAGGCTCCAAACACAAATTTTTGCTAGGGAGAGTTTGTGTGATTGACCACTGTGATACTAACCCTGAAATTACAGGGGTTAATTGATTGTAAATAGGACCTGGGTCTTTCTGAGGTCCTTGTGAACAGACCGGATTTTGAGCTTTTACCTCTAGGACCTACAGTGATGGAATTTAATACAATTTCTCCTCCACCATAATCCTCTTTTTTTTTTTTTTTTAATTTATTTATTTTTAGTTCTCGGCGGACACAACATCTTTGTTGGTATGTGGTGCTGAGTATCGAACCCGGGCCGCACGCATGCCAGGCGAGCGCGCTACCGCTTGAGCCACATCCCCAGCCCCCACCATAATCCTCTTTCGGGTGATTTTCTAGCCAAAAAAATTGAATTTCACCACTCCTCAAAAATGAAAGTTCTATCCAGGCATGGTGGTGCACACCTATATTCCCAGCCATTTGGGAGGCTGAGGCAGGAGGAACCCAAGTTTGAGGCCCACCTGGGCAATTAGTGAGACTATGTCTCAAAATAAAAAAGGGCTAGAGGTATAGCTCAATGGTAGAGCACTTCCCTGGCGCACACGAATTCCTGGATTCTATCCCCAGTACTGGGGGGAGAAAAAGAAAAAAATTGAAGTCATTAAAGCCAGTTCAGACACATGGTTTCAACAAGGCTTTCCTTTGACGTTCCCTTTCTGAGGAAGCGTTTTCTACGCACATTTACAGCTCCCCGCTGTATTTATAAGCCAGAATTTTGAAGCTCTTCTTGATTGTTAATAAAGCATTGATATCTTCAAAAACCAGAAAGCACAATTCTCTAACAGTCATGACAGATGGCTTCAACGTGGGTTGTTTATTTTTTAGATAGCTTTTTCTCTTATTTGTTCAAGCCCTCGTCTTTAATTTTATGAAATAACTTTGAGAACATGATGCTGCTGCTGAATGTAATTTTGTAACACACCATTATGATTCCTGTACTGTTTCAATCAAAGCTACAGTGTGATATTTCAGAGTGTTAAATAAAATGTGAGTTTGAATTATACCATCTGTGCCAATTACAAAGCAATTAAAAGATTTCTTTTTTATGATCTGGTGTAGTAAGTGATCTAACAGGAGGTGGGCATTGGAACCGACAGGGAGCAGCTGCGCCTGTTGCTTGCCAGCCTAGCTTTGAAGAAGGGTTTTTCTTGGATCACAGATGCAGCCAAAGCCATGCTACGGATAAAAAAGAGATTCTGAACTTCTAGGGCAAGGAAATTAAATGATGATTCAGGAATTACAAAGAGGTTAGCTTTGGCTGCAAGAAACTCTTGAATTGCCTCTAGATGGCGACATTGGCTAAACTGGGGCAAGAATTAGGGCTCCACTGTCAGCAATTTACCCTGGAAGGGATTCCTGGTTATTTTAGTCTCCTTCTCTCTTTTGTTGGTTTATTTATTTATTTGGGCAGTGCTGGGTATCAAACCCAGGGCCTTATGCATGGTAGGCAATCGTTCTATCATTGATTTGCACTGCTAACCTTATCATATTTCTTGGTGTGTTTGTTTTTATGTTTTATCTTGAGACAGGGCCTCACTAAATTGCTGAGGCCGGTTTCAAACTTGTGATCCTCCTGAGTCAGTGGGATTACAGGCTTATGCCTCCCTCCATACCCAGCAGGCTTATCACACTTCTTAAAGCAACCTCTCAATTGTATCCCCTCCCAGTTTTTCTCTTTTTTTAGCATTTATGGTTAATAAGCACTCTCCCTCATATTCTCTTATTTTAATCTCGTAACAGATGGTCGTGTATTTTAGGCTACTTGGTGATATCATTTTTTGGACAGGCAATGAGGCCCAGAGCAGGGACCCTCCTTGTTTGAGATCAGAACAAGTTGGTGGCAGGGTAAGAAATAAACTCCAGACTCCTGACTTCTCTGGTCTGCAGCTTGGTCACTATATTACCATAGTATTCTTGGCTTTTTGCCATAACAGGGATTGAACCCAGGGCTTCTCATGTCCTAGTCAAGTGCTCCATCTCTGGCTTTAATCACTGAGAAATAGCCTTCTTAGATTTGCGGCTCTAACTTCAGAGACCTATATCACTATATAACAAATGTGCAGTTTTTAGTTTGTTGTATTACTTGAGAATCGATGCATCTTAATGCAGAACAAACTCTGAAACCACAAGCAGTGGTGGTGAGAAGGAAGGAGAGAATTAAACTCAGCCATGAGGAGGATTAGCCTCCCTTCCGTCATCCCACTTCCCTGGCATGCACATTCCTCCTCCAAATTCAAACTCTCCCACAGTCTGTGGGGCTCAGAGTATGCAAGACTGTGCCCTCACTCCCACCCCTGCTCCCCAGGGCTGAACCAGCAGTCAATTCTGTTACCCAAGACTAGACACAGAAGGAATGAGGTCAGAACGGGGCATTCTTAAAACCCAAGACATTTTTGTCCTTTGGAAAACAAGTAACCCCGTTCTTCCCACCAAAGCTTTTAGAGGGGAAGGATAATTCCTGAAGGACTACAGTAGGGGTGGGACTTTGCCAGTATGCAATTGGAAATGGTTTGCTCTGGGAACAGTGACTGTCTTTACCATGAAATCAGTTGAATGCTATTACATCAGCCTCATGACTAAGGGTAAAAGAATCCAAACCACCATCCTCCAAAATGATTTACAAATCTGCCCTCCATGAAGGAACACATAGGTAAAGAAAAAGAGAAAAAGTTTTGTTTTTTGTTTTTTGTTTTTCCCCAGTGCTGGGGCTCAAACTCAGGGCTTTGTGCATTTTAGGCAAGTTCTAGGCAAGTACTCTACCACTGAGCTACTGAGCTACACCCCCAGTTCAAGAAATGGGCTTCTTTCCTGTCCCATTTGTATCATTGTGCATATACTATACCTATGTGTAGTTGAGTCAAAGTCACTTTGAGGTCCCATGGGACATTGGAGCTACACTTTATTTTCCAGCACAGATCAAGTGTGGGGACCACCAGAGGGAGTTTGGGCACCTTTTTTGTATTTGGGCCAGAGGGGAGAGGAGATGCTAGAGATTGAACCCAGGGGCTATCTACCACTGAGCTACACTCTCAGCCACCCTTGCCCCACCTCCGCCGTGAATGTGTATATGTATGTGTGTGTTGAGACAGGCTCTTGCTAAATTGCTGAGGCTGGGCTTGAATATGACATCCTCCTGCCTCAGCCTCCTGAGTAGCTGGGATTACAGACACGTGCCACCACACTCCTTTCTTGTATTTAAAATACCTTTACAAGCTCCAGCTCCTGAGCTTTGGGATGCCAAGGGAGCAGACGCCACACTTCAATGCCTGAGTGCCTCTCAAATGGCTCAGGTCATGCTAGCTGAAACATCCCATGCCAGCTGCCTGCTAGTGTCTGCCCCCACCCACCCTCCAAGGAACGGCCGTGCTGCTCTCCAGCTTCAGAGCTGAGCTTGACCCAGCTGCCAATCTCCAAAATAAAATCAATGTGTAACCTTATTCAGCAGATGTCCCAAAGAAACACGCACAAACCAGGGCCAACTTTGAAACCAAAAAGGGAAGATGAGAAGTGGGAGAGAGAGAGAGAGAAGGGAAAAGAAACTTGGCTGGACATGAAAGGTGTCTTGTCCGTCTGTTCCCCATTAGGCATAATTCTCTTGCAATCTGCAGCCTCAACATAATTCTCTTGACCAGAAACTCTCCGGAGAGATAGTGTCAGAAGGAAAAACAAACAGAATAGCATCTTCTGACAGCGAAGTCACTTAAAAACCTATTTGGGGGGAGAAGAGGAGAAATGTCAGCACATCAGGGGCGGGCACTCCTTGACAGCAGGCCACATGTGGAGAGACACTTTGCCCAGAGACTGGACAAGGACAGAAAGGGCAGCCCAGAGAGGGTTAATATGCAAGGGCAAGGTGTCCCAGAAAGCCAAACCCCGAATTTTTCTGCTTACCATCTGTTCTGATGCCTCAAGGTCTGCCTAGTCAGGCTTCCCAATATTAAAACCCAAAAGGGCTGGGGATGTAGCTCCCGGGTAGAGCACCTGCCTAGCATGTGCAAGGCCCTCGGTTTATCCCCCAACACTGCAAAAATAAAATAAATCAATAGGGGCTGAGGGTGTAGCTCATTGGTAGAAAACTTGTCTAACATGTACAAGGCCTTAGCTTTGGATCCCCAGCACCACAAAAAATAAAATAAACCCCATGGTGCTTTTTATAACCCCATAGTACATGGAGAATTCAGAAGGACTGTTCAGAAAGAAGTCCTCGTACTTGTCTGATGGCCACCAGCAACCAAAGACTGGAGACTCAACTATACCTGTAAGTGTGTAACCATCTCCCCAAGCAGCAAGACCTCTTCTCCCCTGGCTGTTTTGACCTGCCCTTGAGCTAAGCATTCTAGTATTCAGGAAGCAGAGCCCCACCCCACCGGCGGGAGCGCAGGGGGAAGGTTCTGGAGGGGTGGGGTGTGCAGGGCAGGGCAGGCAAGGGCGGCAGTTCTCTGCTCAAGTTTCTGGGGCAGGCATCCTGTTATAGGAGAGACCTTTTTTCAAAGGAAGAAAAACTAATCAGCAGAAAGAAGCGAGAGCTTTCCCCTGCCTTTCGGACTTGTTTATTACTGGGATATCTGATTTCAGCAAAGGAAGCCGGCACCAAAGCAAGGTTTTTATTGGCCGTGAGCAAGAGGAATTCAGGGCTTGCCTTTGATTTGGCTTCCCCAGAACATGAGGCACTGAAGGGTTTTCGCTGCTTTGATGGAGAAACAGCAGAATTTGGGGGGCCCAAATTCCCTATTTCGGGCAGCATGGACCAAAAAAAAAAATCCCTTTGGAAGATGAAGGTAGAGTAAGGAGCCCAGAGTGGGATGTGGCCTCACAAACATTTCAGAGGGGAAATGGAAATGGAGGACAATAGTCAACAAGTTCTGCAACTGGAACATGAGTGAGGGGCCTGCCCCGCTTCCCTGCGAGTGGGGAGTCGGAGGAGGGCAGGTCTGGTTTGGATGAAAGCACAGTGTTCTGAGACATCTCTAACCGACAGAACTAGGCAGGCTGCAGTCGAGGGCTGGGGCCTGATGGTTTCAATGTGTTCGGAAGATAAAGCCAGAGATTGGAGAGGCAGCCTCTGCCAACAGCACTTCACAGCTGGATGGGCTGGGGCTAGGGGAGGGGTTTCCCAGCTGGGCCACAGGTTCCCCCAGGCTACAGAGAGCTGCCACTCTGGGTCTGCAACCCCAGGCAGTCCCATGGCCTCATCTCACCCTGGGCTGGTGTAGCTTTCCTGCTTCCTTCTGGTCTTCATAGGAGAACCAGTCTCACACTGGAGAAAAAGGGAAAGTGTGCCCCAATTTGTGCGTCCTTGGAAAAACCCAACCATCTCTACTCTCTCTGTCTCTCTCTGCCCCCCCCCCCCCGCCGTCTGTCTGTCTGTCTCTGTCTCTCTCTTTATACTGGGATTAAACCTAGGGGCACTTTACCGCTAAGTTATATCCCCAGCCCTTTTTTTTATTTCGAGACAGGAGCTCACTGTCCTTAACTTGTGATCCTTCTGCCTTGGGCTCCTAAGCCACTGGGATTCCAGGCATGTGCCACCACACTCAGCTCCATATCCTGTCTCAAGCTGCCTTCCCCTCCGATCCCCTTCATTATCCTTCTCCACTGGAAACAGGAAGAACTCCAAAGTTGAGATCTCTGAGTGGCCATGCTTCTCGTTACTACTTTGATCAGCCCTAAGGGAGGAGGCAGGAGGAGGCCAGCACCCTGAAGCTGCTACCAGGGATGCTGGGATTTGGGGGCCTTTGTGGATGGTAGAGAGAGCCCCTTGGTGGAACTTTCTGGCAGGGAGATGGCTCAACCTGGGTCTGGCTCTCCTCCTGTTGCAGGTTTGTGAGTAGGAGGCAGTAGGTCTATGTAAGAGCCATCCTTTCCTCTCTCTAGGTATGGGGTCTTCACAGATGTCTCTGTGTGTGCCTTCTTGTGACCAGTCATGGGCTTCTCTCTGAGGACTCAGCATGTGCCCGGCAGTGTGGCACAGCTCACCTGTGAGTCCCATACCCACTTTGGCAGCCAGTGTGGCATTTGGCCCTCTCAGCTGAGGCCCAGAGCCTAGGGC